CCTTGAGTGCTTCGAAATTTCTTTTCTGCCTCGCAGTCAATTATCCCAGTGCGACCCTACCTAGGAGGTGGAGCCCCTAGGAAAGCAGCATTAGTAGTAACAGTAAAGCTAAGCTAAAGCTAAGCTAAAGCTAAGCTAAAGCTAAGCTAAAGTTAAGCTAAAGCTAAGCTAAAGCTAAGATAAAGCTACGCTAAAGCTAAGCTAAAGCTAAGCTGAGCTAAGCTATGCTAAAGCTAAGCTAAAGTTAAACTAAAGCTAAGCTGAAGCTAAGCTAAAGCTAAGCTAACGTTGAGCTAAAGCTAAGCTGAAGCTAAAATAAAGCTAAGCTGAAGCTAAGCTGAAGCTAAGCCAAAGCTGAGATAAAGCTAAGATAAAGCTAAGATAAATCTAAGCTAAAGATAAGCTAAAGCTAAGGTAAAGCTAAGGTAAAGCTAAGCTAAAGCTAAGCTAAAGCTAAGCTAAAGCTGGGCTACAGCTAAGCTAAAGCTAAGCTAAAGTTAAGCTAAAGCTAAGCTAAAGCTAAGCTAAAGCTAAGCTAAGCTAAAGCTAAGCTAAGCTAAAGCTAAGCTAACGCTAAGCTAAAGCTAAGCTAAAGCTAAAGCTAAAGCTACAGCTAAAGCTAAAGCTCCCAGGGGACTGGGGGAACCGCGGGGTGGATACTGGGAGAACCGCCCGGGCTGATTTACACTGCCCGGCCCCTTTAAGCAAAGAGAGTAAGAACCCTTCTAGACAGAGCCTAGGTAGGGAATTTCCATAACTCGCCGCACCATAACGCAGTCTTCGACACGGTGGTTTGAAAGAGTCGAAGGCGTTTCGCTTGAGATGCCGTTTTTCCCATGGACGGGGATGGGGGGGGCGGGGGGCAAAGGTGTCAGCCGCACCCTTGGAGCCTCAGAGGGCCCCAAAACGGACCAAGAGGGCCCCAAAAGGCCCCCTGGACGGTCCAAGAGGGCTACGAGTCGCCGAAAGATCGCTCCAAGACGCCCAAGATCGCCTCCAGACGGTCCCAGAGGCCCCCAAGACGCCCCAAGAAGCCACCAAGAGGCGGCCCCAAAGGCCCTCCAGCAGCAACAATCGTCCCATTCCCAAGGGAAAACGTATATGTTTAGCACATTCGCCTCTTGGGCTTTCACGAGGCCCACAACGGCCCAGGAAGCCTTTAAGATCGACCCAGGATAGCCCCCAAGAGGGCTCCAAGACGGCCCAAGAGGTCCCCAAGACGGCCCCAGAAGCGTCTAAAACGACCCAGGAGGGCCCCAGGACGGCCCCAAGAGGAGGCCCAGACGGGGAAGCCGAATGAACATTTCGAGCACTCGGCCCCGAAAGAACATGAGGAGGCGCAAATCGGCCCCCAAGAGGCTCCCACGAGGCCCGCGAGAGGCCCAAAAGAGGCTCCTAGAGGCTTCAAAACGGCTCCCAAGAGGCCGCAAAAGTGCTGCCAGAAGAGCCCAGAGAAGCCCAAGAGCAAAGCGGCGATCCGCCAACCGCCCCCGACGAAATCCCAAGATCTGAAACCCCAAGATTCCCCAAAAATCGTTCCGCAAACTCCGTGTTTCACTCTTACTGCCGCCCCAAGGGGTCGGCGGAACTGCGGCAGCCAATGAATATTGATTGAACTGCAAAGATTGCACAACATCTTTTGAACCGTGAGGATTGCTACACATTGGTTTCACATCATCAATTTCTCAGAACACACTGGTTGAGGCCCACGTTGGCGAACATCTATACGCATGCATGTGTATGAACATACACACATGTGCGTATCCGTCGCCGTGGCCTAAGGCACGGGTTAGAATGTCCTCAGGTCTCTTCGGAAGTCTCTGCACGTATGTACTGCAATCACTCCTTACAAAGGGTAGACATACCGATGCAGCTCACTCCTCTTGCGGGCAATATTCATATCCATATCCAGTGCGTCTTGGACTTTCTTGGAAGGGGCGCCGCAAGGCCGAGGCGCACTGGATATGGATAAAAATCTAGCCTTGTTGGAGGCAGATTATTATCCATATCCAGTGCGCCTCATGTTTCTTGGGAAGAGAGTCCGAAACTCCAAGACGCACTGGATGTGGGTATAGACATTGCCCGCACCTCTGGCCCCCGGCACTGCCCGCAGGGAGGGCAGACTCGAGCGGCCTGCGCTCGGCGGCCCCGCCAGGGGCACGCTGGCGGGGGGCGCCCCCGGGGCGCGCACCAGGCGCGACATGCGGGGCGCGCGGCCCGCGCGGCGAGCGCGCGCGCGCGGCAGAGCGCCTCGGCCGAGCCCACACGGCTGGGCCCGGGCGCTCGCGCCCCGCTTGCTGCCGCTCCTCGTAAGCCTGCCTTGACCCACGGCGTCCGAGTCCCTTAGCGCGCCCGAGCTCAGCCAGCCATCGTGCTACCCACAGGAGCGGCAGCTGAGGAACGAAGGAGCTTCTCTGGCCCCGGTGGGCCTCTGCCACGAGTAGGTTCCCCGACCTGGACATATAAGGAACGACCGAAGAATCATAGCCCGTCCTTATGTCAGCGTCCCGACTGCACTCACCACACAAATTCACAAAACTGGTTGCATTGCTTCCAAAATTATTTTTCGCGGAGCTCATCGGTCGAGATCCGCAAAACACATCCCTGGACGCAATACACAACGGCAATAGCATCAGAAACACAGCCATGGTAGCTAACGATCAACATCGCGGCCACGTTCTCAAACACAAGTGGCCAAGCGTTCAAACCAAGCCCCGCATCATTCACGGTAACGACGCAATGATTACCCAATCCGTGTGCTAGTCGAGTTCGCAACACGAAGCGCAGATGACAGGAAACTGTCAACCTCTATCTCGACTCGCATATCAACCCTTAACGCGTCGCAATCACCTGCGCAAAATCAAGCATAATCGTACGCATACTCATGGTCATGGTCGTAACCTAAACCAGCGTCACGCAATACATGTCGGCCGCAACTGAAACAAAAAACATAACAGCATAGAACCAACAAGCATCATAATCATCCCACCAGCCTTCTAGGCATAGGTGGTCTAACGACTTCTTCATTTGCTCTTCGAAACCCTATTCCTTCTTGGAGGGGTACCCTTCCCCATTCCCTTCCTGAGACGTGTTGGGTGGTTTCGCGAGCGGTCAGGGCGCCAAAGATGGCTCCAGGAGGGCCTCAGATGTTCCAAGATGGTCTCCACGGCGGCTCGATGCCTCAGATAGCACTGGAATGACCGCAGGAGAATCTTCGTCGGGACGCGCCCTGGGAGGAAGCGCTCTTGCTCCGCACCATCGGCCCTGGGGCCCTGGGGCGGCCTCGGACCACGGCTGGGTTGCAGTGCGCGCGGGACAACACGCGAAAGACATCGAAGGGGAAAACACGCGTTCCGCGGCGTGGGCCGCTGGAAACCCGTTTTGGGTTCGAGTCTGGTGGTTCGGGCTTGGTGCTTTGGGTTTGGTGTTTGGGGTTTGGGGTTTGGGGGTTTGGGATGTGTGTGTGTGTGTGTGTGGTAGTATTTGGGATGCGTTGCTTGTTTTGGGGTGTTGGTGTTTGGTGGTTGGGGTTTGGCGTTTGGTTTTCGGGTTTCGATTTTCGGTGGTGCCTGCGGTGTGTTGCTTGGTGTTTGAGTGCTTGGTTGTTTGGTTTTTGCAGTGTTTGAGGCTCCAACCTGGGAATACCCCACTTCTGCCGGGGAATAGCCCGTCCATTCAGAGAATAGCCCACCCATGTTTTTTGAATAGAATTCGGCCCGCGGTGGGAAGGGGGGTATCTGAACTATCTGGGCTCCCCGGCGCATCCCAAGAGACTCCAGAGCTTCCAAATCTGCTTTCCGTAGCCTCAAAAACGTTCCAAGACGGTCACGCATCGCAGCCCATTGGCCCAAGACGCCTACGATGGCTCCAAGACGCCCCAACACGCCTTCGAGACGGCCCAAAGCCTGCAAGAGGGCCCAGTGAGGCAAAATCAATGGTTTTCCTCAGGTTGTTGTTTATGGTGTCATCGTCTTCTCGGGCTTCCGACGCTCCGAGACGGCCCAAGAGGCCACATAGGTAGACCGCCCCAACACTGACCACGATGCCCCTACGAGGGCCCCAGGACGACCCAAGAGAGTTCCAAGACGGCCCAAAGAGGGGCCCAAGACGGCCAAAGATCACCCCAAGAGGGCCCCAAGAGCGGCGAAGAGGGAGAGTACGAACCGAACATCCTACCTTTCCGTCCCAAGAGGCCCCCCAAAGGCCCCAAGAAGCCCGCGAGCGGCCCAAAGAGGCCCCCAATAAGCCGCCCAAAAGCGGCCCCTGCCCCAACACGCTTCAAAACTGCCTCCAAGAGGTTCCGCCAGGCACCCAAAAAGCTCCCAAGACACCCACAAGAACCCCCACATAAAGCCCAAGAAGCCCACGACGCCTCGAACGTGGACTCCACGCCTCTTCTGGGGGTCAGCGGAATGGCGTAAGCCTCTTGAACATTGATACCGATGACGACGTCGACGGTAACGATAATTATTCATTATCAGTGTGGTGATGATGATAACGATGACGACGGTGGCGGTGAAGATGATGGTGATGATCATGCTGCGGTAGCGATGATGATGGTGTTGGCTAAGACCCAAGCGGGGTTGAAGGACGCCCCCCTACTGAGAGCCTGGGGGCGGCCCAGAGTCTGGGATAGAAAAGTGAAGGATGGGATTACGAGGGCATGCAAATAGAGGCCTCCAAGATGGGATCCGAGCAAATGGGGTCGGAGGATCTCGCCGCATCGCGGATACATCTGCGATGCATCGGCCATGCACTGGCGACGTCGACGATGCATCGGCGATGTCGGCGTGGAGAGACTAGGGCCCCACATCGAGCCGCATCGCTGATGCATCGCCGATGCATCGACGATGCGGCGCGATCTTCCGACCCCATCTACCCCGACCCCATCCGAGAGGCCTAGAGCAAGGCACCCACGACGTGCTACCAGACCACACCCTCGTAGCCGTCGGCACGGTCCGACGGTGGCAGCGCGGGCCCGCGGCCCGGGCCGGGGCGTCCTGCCCGCGGCGTCCGGCGGCCCGCCGCGCCCGCCGGGCTGCAGCAGGGTGTTGAGCCGCTCCATCTTGGAGCCCAGGCGGTCCTGCGGGGCGGCACGGCTGCAGCCGGGTGCTGCTGCCGAGCAGGACCGGCCGTCCCGGCCTTCCTGTAGGCCTACCACCACATGTTCCTAGAACGATGAACGCGTGGATAGCGAAAAAACATGCTGTCTGAGAGCAGCTCTCATAACACGAACCATATGAAGTAAATCAAGACGGTTTTCACCAAAGCGTTATGAGAACATCTCGTGCAAGCCACAAAAAGGTTAATTAGTAGAATAGTACCTCGTGGGCCTATAGGCAAGTCCAGACGTTTCGCCGTATTTCGATGCTAAACCCCAGAGCCCAAACGTCCCGAAAAACTCCATGCGATAATTGTCCTCAGCTTCTGGCGTGCAGAGGCAGTCGACGGCCCTCGGGATTGTCCAAAAACCACTCGGGAGGAAAAGCTGGCCCTGGGGAGAGCGTCGGGACTTCTGGGGGCTCCAGGTAAAATTATGACGTCACACGGGCCAAGTCTCCGACGAACAGATTTACACGGACGAGTTTAATACATTGGACTTGTAATGCAGTGGATGTTCTTTCACTACACAAGGGCGTAAACTAGGAAGAATACCATCTCGCGAGCGCGCGCCAGAATACATACGATGTCCGAAAGCATGTCCACGTATCGGTCAAAATGTGCCTATGCGCGGATGATGTGGAGACGTGGTCACGCACAACCGCCGATGAGCCTTTGCGCGCGTTTGAATACATGTGGTGTTAAACGCGCTCGCACAGTGATGAGGGCGACCATGCGATGAACAATGATATCCGACTGACCATTTGCGCGAAGGCTTCTGCGACAACCCCTGGAGAATCGAGGGTCTTCAAAACTGGACAGGCTGTCTCGGGGCCATCTTGGACAGCCGCAGGCCCACCGACCGCACTTCGGCCGCCCGCGGGTTGGATCTCCCAGCCGGCATGAGGGGAGGAGGGGAGGGAAAACAAGGAAAAACGCACCGAACAAACACGGACCAGGAGGAGGGGGGGGAGAGAGGCAGGGGCAGCAAGCACGCACGTAAAGGTGGACGGGGGGACGGGCGGGGGCAGTCGTCAGCTGCTCGTGGTCGGCGGCCGGGGGCGGGCGGGGGTAGCGGCGCGGGCGGGGACGGAAGCGGGCGGGGGCAACGGCATGGGCGGGGACGGAGGCCAGGGGCGAGGAGCGTGGTCGTCGTCGTCGGCGGCCGTTGGGGGCGGCCGGCGATCGGCCGTTGGACCAGTGGCCGGCGGGCGTCAAGGCCCAGGAGCGGCCCTTGGAAAGGCGGCCGCGCCTGCGCTGCGGCGGCGAGCGCTTCTCACCGCTCACGTGGCGTCAGCCGTCGACGCCGTGGTCCCGGCCGCCATGCGCGCCAGCGTCGCGCCCGGTCGCGACTCGAGGCGACGCAGCACTGCCCGCGCGCTCTCCCTGTGCAGGGAGATGGAGCGTCGTTGGGCAAGCTGCGCCGCCGCGAGCGCGGCGTCCTCTCGTGTTGCGTCGGCGAGCCGCTTGGCAAGGGCCGCGAAAGCGCGGCGCGCCTCCCACCCCCATCCGCCGCCGTGCGCCTCGCATACCATTGGTATGGAAAAGGGGCCCGCCTCGGAGCAGCGGCGCTGGGTGTCCTGGTGGAGGCGCTTGCGCTCCTCGTAGCGGTCCGCCGCCGCGCTCGCCGCCTCGGCCGAAGCCGCCACCGCGTCCGCGCGGAGCCCGCTGGTGACGGCAAAGTCCAGGGCCGCGGGCATGCCATTGCGCCAGCGCGGGACGAAAACGTCCGCGGGGCGCCGTCCGTCGCCGTCCAAATCGCCCCCGTTCTCCACGCCACCGGGGGGGCCCTCGCCGGGGGTGCGAGGCGGCAGGAGGCCGGGGCGCTCGATCTCGGCGCCCACGTGGCCGGCTGCCAGCGCGTCGTGCCAGGCCCTGTCGCGGAGGCGGTTGCTGCATCTGGTGCGGTCGCCGCGGCAGCTGCACGCGAGGGTGTGATCGGCGAACACGTCCATCACCTCCCTGCACGCCGGGCAAAAGGCCTCCTCGTCGAGAAGCTGGCGCCTCAGGCGTCTCTGCAGCGCTATTTGCATCAGACCGTGAGACATGTCGGTGCCGATCGCTGGGCAGGGCGGGGCCAGGAGCCAGTCGCTGGCGCCCGGAGCAGCGACCAGGTTGAGGTGGGCCCGCACGGCCAGAGGGGAGCGCTGCCAGAGCTCGTCGCGGGTGAGGTCGTCCACCTCCTCGGAGAGGCGCTTCTGGTCGGCGTGCTGGGCGGGGTCGAGCTCAATCCTGTCGGTCGGTAGGACCGTGGCGTTGAAGGCCTGGACGGCCGCGGCCAGGCTGCCGTCGCAAGCCGAGTAGGGCTGCCGGCAGAGCCGCGCGGGGCCCTCTGGGCCTCTGGGCCCTCGCAGGGGTGCTCTGGAGGCCACCTGGGCCTCCCAGGGAACCCGATTGGAACCGGGGCCACGCACCTTTGGCAACATTTCTTGGGCAGCGCGGCCAGTGTGCCACATGAGAGGCCAGCATCTGCATGGGATGCGGGAGATGCCCCGCAGTGCCGATGCCTCGGCGACGCCGGCGTGGAGAACGCCGGGCCCCACAGCAAGCCGCATCGCCGATGCATCCTGCGGCGCGGTCCTGCGACCTCATCTGCGTGGGCAAGACAGGGCCGGCGGGCGGCGAAGAAGACCGCGCGGGCGCGGCCGCGGCGGGAGCGCCTTCGGGAGGGGTCCTATTGGGGAGGCCTTCGACGGGTCCTTGGAGGAGGGGCAGCTCCTGGGAGGTCTGAGAACGACGAAGGGCGGTTAAGCCAGAAGGGGCCGATAAGCCAGCTCAGGCTGAATGAAGCCCAGGATTGAGCCAGAACAGCCTGGATCTGCAAGGGCAGGGTGCAGGTCGTACTGCGAAGCGCGAGGGGTGCCCTGATCAAGAGCGCGTCGAACGGGAATTGAGAGAAGCACCATAGAAATGGCTCCTGAGCGAATATCGTTCGTTGCAGGCGCACTTACTGAGAGAAGGCGGATTGTCCTGAGCAAACACAACACGAGCAGTTGCCAGGCTCGCGATCATCTTCAGGAGGGCCCGATGGGACCGCACGTCAAAACCTAGTCGTGCAAGTCCTCCCTGATGAGGGTGAGAAGGAGGAGGAGAGGAGGGACGGGGAAGGAATGGAGGAAGGAAAGTCCAGCGCACTCACCCAACCGCACCCCTCTGCACTGGAGTCTACACGGACCCTCAGGATCAAGGACCCCTCCTGAGAGATGCGCCAGTTTCCACCATTTACGGGTGCAGGGCGAGCTTGATGCAGCCTTGATAACGGTCCCCCCCTCGAGCAGGATTGCGAACAAGCCTCGACTTCAAGCGTCCCCTACCGAGGATGGCCGCCCTAGGCTTGATCAGGATTTTGATCAAGCGTGATCAAGGGCTTGACCCAGCCCGATGGACAGGGGTAGCTAATTCCCAGACGGCGACGTCGCAAATCGCGACGTTTCCGCCCCACCCCCGCTCTCCCCCAGTAACGGCCGTTATCGCGAGAGGCTACTAAAAAGCTGGCTCGAGGGCGTTGCTTGATGGGGGCAATAAGAGGGGTGATGAAGAAAGGTGCCTTTCGGACACATTCGGGGCACCAGGGGCCCCCATTGCGGGACCCTTTCATGCAACCCTCGATCCCCTCCCTCCATTGATCGCCCCCCAGTACGAGACGTCCAAGGCTCCTGGCCCTGGCAGATGCTGGTGAATTGGAACGTTTGCGGTGTCTCTAAATGGTGCTGCAGCTGCAGCGTTGGCTTTATCTTAGGATCGGCGCTCTGCTCCCATCGCTCAGAATTGCGATTTCGCGCCAGCGCGGACCACTTGTCTGGATCCGAGTGCATTCTCATCGTTGCCACCCCCCTCATTTGCCCTCCCCCGCCTTCTCCTGGTCATCCTCCTCCCGCTCCTCCCGCTCCTCCAAATCCTCCTCATCTTCCTCCTGCTCATCCTGCTGCTCATCGGCTACCTCCCTCTCCTTCTCCCCCTCCTCCTGTGCGCGCAGCTTCCCTTGTCCGATTGCGCATAGCACGATGGAGTCTTCTGGGAAGTTCCAGGTCCGCTGTTACACGCGTCCGCGGACAGAGACACCTCAGCGCAATGGAAAGGGATAGGTGGCAGGATCTCAGACATGGCGCGAGCGCACCCAGCTGGTCCTGTCCTCCTCTGCCCCTCACCCCCTCTGTTGAGCAGGGACCGACCGTCCCGGCATTCCTGTAGTCCTACCACGACATGTTCTCCTAGAACCCAAGAAATGTGCAAAGAACAAAAACAATGTTCTTAGAACATAAATCCGATGTGCTGAGGCAAGACAGCCCAAGCCAGAAATGTTCTGAGAACATTGCCTGCAGACCACAAAAGGTCCTTAGAACATTGTTCGGTAGGCATATAGGCACGCCAGGACGCTTCGCCACTGCTCGACTCTCCCCCTCTGTCGTGACTCTTGTGCTCGACCCGAGATGGGGCCTCTCCGTGGGGGGCCGCCCTGGCCGGCGGAGACCGGCGCGGCGCGAGGCCTCGCCGACGCCGGCAGCGGGGTCCGCCCGCGGCGCGCCCGGCGACGAGGCCTCGCCGCCTGGGGCGCGGGGGAGCCGCGCCGCCGCTGCCCTCCGGCCGCCCGCGCCGCGGGGCCCTCTGCTGCGTGCGGGGCCCAAAGATTCGACGATCGGAGTGCTTCCACCCGGGTGTGCTGATCTGGTCTCGTGTCTTCTGCTCTCCCCCCCCCCTTCCTCCCTCCCCCTCCCCGTCCCCTCCTCGCCACGGGGCTTCTTCGCGCTTGCAAAAACGGCTGTTGTGCTCTCGCTCTTGGCCTCACGGGGCCCGTGATCGGGCTCCAGCAGGACCACCCACGACGGATCTTGGGCGCAAGACTGCCCCCCGGGGAGGGGGTCGGGAGCTCCGGGGCCGCGAGCAAGAGCCACAGCGGAGGGTGCCTGGGGAGGGCGCCTCCGGCGATCGCGCGGGATGGGGAGGGGGGTCCTCCTCGGGCGGCGTACCACAGCGGGGGCAGGGGCGGGGGGAAGCAGCATGGCAGCAGACGTCGGGAGAGATGGCAGAGGGGACAGAGGTCGACTGACCGAGACAAAATCGGAGTCGCCTCGCGCGCAAGGGGAGGGGGCAGTGCGGGAGGCCCGGATCGGTCGGCATCGGTCTCGTGAGGAGTGGCCCGAGCCGCGTCGGCGCGGGATGGTCGGCGCCGAGCCGAGCCCAGGCCGCGCCAGGACTCGTGACGACGCCACGCGAACACGGGGCCGCATCGGACCGTCGGGACATCGGAATCGGGCCGACATCGATATCGAATCGGATCGATCGGATCGAAGTTGACCTCAGGTGAACCCAAGTGGATATCGAATCGATGTCGACATCGATATCGAATCGGATCGATCGGATTCCCTCCCCTCGCGTGGAGGGAAGGGGAAAACAGAGGAGAGGAGACAAGAAGAGGAGCAGAGAAGAGGAGGGCGGGGGCCAAGCTCCGGGGTGGCCAGGGACAAACGGAGCAGTCTGCCGACCAGCGACGGTGGGCCAGGTGGTGTCTGGCGCTCGAGAACAGTGCCTGGACAGACCGAGCGAGAACTGGCGCAGCACTGTGCACTGGAGCACCTGCTCGCCAGAGAGGAGGGGAGGGATCCTCCCTCCCCTGGGGGGGAGAGGCGCCCCAGAGTCCTGCACCGAGCCCCAGCTCCGCCAGTCCATGGGTTGCTTGCCCGTGCACTTCCAGCAGGTGCTGCGCGTGCGGCGCGCCAGGTTCGCCACTTCGTGAACAAAAATCCTGCCTCTCCCCGTTCTGCCCTCGTCCCCCACATCCCGTTTCGTCGTTCTGCGGGCGCCTTCAGATGATCCCAGGCGGAGCTCAAACCAAACGCACGTGCAGTGAAACGGTGCGCCGACCCCGGCCAGGCCTGGCTCCCCCTTCTGCGCTGCACCCTCCCCCCCCGCCCAGCGCAGGCCCACCCGGCGGGTCTTCGACGCAAATGCCGTACCTCTGCGCCGCCGACACCAGCTGGCTCAGGTGGTTCATGAGGCCCTGGCCCCGCGGGCCCAGGGCAAGATGGGATGCCTTCCTGCGCAAGCCAACTCTGAAGAGTCTGACGAACGACCTCCCCGAGCCCGAAGACGACGTCGTGCGTTTGGCCACTCGGGCTCCGACGGGGAAGACTGCGACTTGACGCTTTTGCTCGGCAGCGCCAGCGACCGCAGGCGCGAGAGTCGGGACTGGCGGGGCGCGCCGGCGAGGGGCGTGCGGAGCAAGAGGAAAAGCAGACAGCGGCCGCGGAGGAGGAGGAGGAGGAGGAGGAGGAGGAGGAGGAGGAGGAGGAGCAGGAGGAGGAGGAGGAGGAGGAGGAGGAGGGAGGAGGAGGAGGGGGAGGAGGGAGGAGAGAGGAGGGAGGAGGCCCGACCATCGAGAAGCGACTCGGCGAGGGGCGCGCAGGCGGCCTCGGGCACCTGGGACGGTGTGCATCAAGTCGAGGAGCAGCGGAAGGACCGTGCCTTCGAAGCAGGAGGCGGCCAGCGAGGCGCAGGAGCATCGCCGCGGGGAATCGAGGCTCAACGCAGTCGCGCCCGATTCTGGGCCGAGCATTGACTCGATCGGACTGCTTGTCCTGCCTGGCCCCGTCGGCCCGCCAGATGCTCCAAGGATGCGGGCGACGCGCCGGCCGCGCTCGAGGGAGAGGTGGGCCCGACCTCGTCGTGCTGTACAGCCATCACGCTCCCAAAAGGGGCGCTGAATGAGGAACGAGGGGGCATTGCTGGCCACGGCGAGCCTCGGCCACGAAAAGGTTGCCCGACCTAGATCTAAGGCACGGCCCGAAAACCAGAGCCCTCCTGACCGGAGGTCCTTCGTGTAAGTCGGGCCTGTCCTCCTCCAAAATGGTCGAAAAATAATGTATCAAAATCGTCCCTAAATTATTGTTCTACTATTTTTGAATATTCCTCCAGTAGAGGGACAGGCCCCACTTAATCCTTCGTTCGGCCTCTGGGCCAAAGCAGCGCGGGCCCGGGCTGGAGCCCGCGCGCGGCCGAGGAGCACCGCGGCGTCGTAGGGCCCCCGGGGCTCGCACCCGACGGTCCGAGCGGGCCCCGAGCCGGGTGCGATCGTGCAGCCGTGGGACAGATCGACCGAAACAGGGGCAACGCTTCACGCTCCAAACCCAGGCTTACACTGAAGTCGGGCCTGTCCCTCTACAGGAGGAATGTGCAAAAATGGTCAAAAAAAATCTGAGGACTCTTTCTCAAATATTTTTGAACATTTGGGTAACATGTTTTGAGTATCTTTAATATTTCGCCCCGAATCCCCCTGTAGGGGGACAGGCCCGACCTAAGCTTACACAGGCCGAGCGCACATCGCGCTCCAAATACAGCACGCTCCTGACGTGATGGCATGGGCCCTGGTGTCTGACAACGGGCGGGCCGTTCACCACTGAGCAGCCTCCGCTCTCGGAGGTCCCGAGGGGCGTTGCACAGCCCCCCAAGGCCTTCGTGCTCAAGATGCAGCAGGCTGCTCATGTAGAAATAACTGACGTGACGCCGAGGTTACTGGCTGCCAGGTGTCTGTTGCTCACGATCATGCTTCCTGGCGTGGCGACGTGGGCCTTTGGTGCCCGTCACCGCGTGGACCATCAGACATGAAACGCCCTCCGCTCTCGGAGGCCCCAGAAAGCACTCGTCGCCACCTTTCGCGTGGATTTGTTGTTGGGCGTCCCGCAGAAGTCACGCATGCGGGACGAGAGCAGCGCCTCCCGCGGTCGAAGCGCTGCCCTGCGATCTGTACAGACTCCAGCGTGACGCCAAAAGCCCACAACTTGAAGCCGAACTCTGCAGGACGTCTGTCGACTGAACTTCGGCAGAGGCGCGAGGAGTCCGCTGGCCCATGTGTGGGGCTATCAGGCTGCGAGGTTGGTCTTTTCGTCCCCAAGAGATCTGTCTTAACTGGGACCGCATCCGCCCCCTAGCCACCGAGTTGCCTCACGGGCTCATTCTCAGGGGACTTGCAGAATTCAGCCAGGAACTCGTCCTCGAGGGCTCTCAGGGGATCCTCCCGAGAACGAGCTCCCGAGCGAAAAAAATCTGCCTGGAGCTCGTTCTCGGGGGCTCCTCAGGGAATTCCCCCGAGAACAAGCTCCTGAGCGAATTCAGCGGTTCCGCCTGAGAACGCGCTATTAGACGATTTTCGCACCCGAGACAACCATCCCACGTAAATCATGGTAGTCTCGCGCCTCGGAGGCCACGATCCCTGGTATGTTACACCAGTTCGCACCCCCGAAGTCACCATCCCCCATAAATCACACCAGGCTCGCGCCCCCGAAGAAAGGATCCCTGGCTGCTTCGCTAGATTCGCGCCCCCGCATCCGCCTGCCGACGTCCGCGCAGATCGGCCCCCCGGCGGTGCCTCTGAATGCAACATCGGATCGGAACAAATCGGTAATCTCTGAGACCGTCGGTTCTGGAGGGTCTGTCTCGGGCCGGGCGAAAGGGGGGGATAGCAAAGGGCGGGTTTGAGAATCAGCTCACGTAGCTGATGTTCCCGGCGCCTCCTGGCGCCGGGAGGCGCCTATGTATCGAGGAATGGGCCAGGCGGCGGGGCCGAAACCAGCTGCATGCAGCAAATTTCGTACCCCCCCCTTGCTCTATCCCCCATGTTCGTCCGGCCCGACCGTCGGTTCTGGAGGGTCTGTCGGGCGCCTCGCGCCGCGGCCGACCCAGCTCCGAGCAGCTCGGACCACGCTCCGGACAGCTCCGCCCCGGTCCTGGGCCGCCCGATAGGTGCCCCGAGCCGGGCCGGCACAGGCCAGGTCGGCCCGGGGGGCCGTGTCGCGACCGCGAGCCCCAGCCAGCCGCCCAGTGGCTCCCACACCTGGGCCAGAGGAGGGCGGAGAGGAGGGATCGGGCTCACCTGGCCCCCCGAATAGGCCAGAGAGGGAAGGCGGCTCACCCTTCTGGCGCCGACCCCCGTCACGTCAGCCCCCAAAATGACCCGAGACGTCTCTCCTCCTCCTCCTCCTCCTCCTCCTCCTCCTCCTCCTCTCCTCCTCCTCCTCCTCCTCCTCCTCCTCCTCCTCCTCCTCCTCCTCCTCCTCCTCCTCCTCCTCCTCCTCCACGCGAGTCGACGATGTATGTTTTATTTGTTTGTCTGGGCGCCGCGCCGCTCCTCTCGGCGGGGGCCCTGGGCGCAGGAGGCCGAAAACCGGCGCCCCGCGAGCGCACTCACAGATTTGATGTGGCGGCTCGTGCCCACGGCGCGCGCCCCGTGGCGCGCCCGAACACGCGCGCCCGGCCCGACGCCCCTCTCTACGGCCGGCCGCGGTCGTCCTGCGGGGGCCCCTTCGCGGGCACGCCGCCGAACTCCGCCCGGACGTGCTGGCCACGGCAGCGCAGCGCGAGCACGGGGTAGAGCGCGAGCATGTGCTCCTGGCTCTCCGCCTTGATGGAGGAAGTCCCCACGAACGCGCGATTGTAATACCACTGCACGGTGCGGGTGCCGAAGTCGTACTTCACGCCGAGGACATCTCCCTCCGCCAGCCGGATGCCCTTCTGGACGTTGTGCCCTGCCAATGCGGAGCCAACGGGCCCGTTGCCGCTGACGTAGAGCACCGCGTGCTGCAGGTGGAGGGAGCAGGTCTCGGCGCCCACCGGCACGCGGCCGCAGACGCCCACGGCGAGGCCGCCCTGCTCGGAGTCGGTGTTCGCGGCCACGTGCACCTCGAAGCGCGAGGCGCCGAGGGGGCCCAGCGGCCGCTCGGCGGCGACCACCTGCCAGCCGTCCAGCGTCGCCCTCACGTCGCTGCCCAGCACCGCCAGGGAGGTGCCGTGCGTGGGCGAGACGCGGTTGGCCCCCACGAAGGGCATGAGGTGGAGGGCCTCCAACAGCGTGTCCACGCCCAGCTGCTGTTCCGGCGGCACCGGTGGAAACGGGGCGTCGGAGCGCCCCTGGCGCCTCGACAGCCAGTCCACGATGAAGGCGAAGCAGTCCGGGTTGAAGTCCAGAAAAAGCCTGCCTTCGCTGTCCCGCGGGATGGAATGGATGAAGGCGTCGCTGAACATGTGATTCAGGTAGCTCCCCTCGACGCTGCCAAGGAAGGCCCTGGGCATCGAGAACTCCCGCCCGCAGCAGCTGATCCGCAGCACCCCGGCGCCCGCGGACGCCCGTGGCACCGTCATCTGCTGCTGCAGGGCCCAGAGCCTCGCCCACTCCTCCTCGACAGGGCTGAACCTAAGCGGTGTTCTTCGTTTTCGTTTTGTTTTCGCTTTCCCTCGTTTTGTCTCCAATCCACCTCTACCGCAAAACGAAGCCGAAACGAAAGCGGCTCACGAAATCGCCAGAACACCGTTTGGGTCCAGCCCTGCTCCTCGATCTTCGCGCGCTCGGCTCGGCAGCTCTCCTCCGCGCGGGCGCGCAGCTGCCCCAGCTCCGCGGCCAGCCTCGCGGCCTCCTCCGCGCCGCGCCGCCCGGCGGCGCGCAGCCGCTCCCTCTCGGCCTCGACCGAAGCGGCGAGGCGCCGCACCGCGGCCTCGACCGCCGGGTCCTCGGCGCCGGCACCCGCCTCCTCCATCTCCAGCCGGGCCCCATGGCGCCGGCGGGGAGCCCGGCGCCGGAGCCAAGATGGCTACGGGCGGCCCACGCGGGTCGACTGGTCACGTGAGCGCTCCATGCAGCAGGAGAAGCTGCGAGGGCAGTCAGATCCGCTGGGCCAGTGGCAACAATATTGCGCAGAAGAGCGCCGCGAGGTCTCTGCTGGGGCCGTGTGCTCCTCCACTCCGCTGGGCCTCCCAAGGAGCACACGAAAGTGGCGCCAGTTGCGCAGAAAACTACCCCCCAGGGAGCTGCGAGGCCCCGTCTGGATCTGCGCACTCCCCTACGCCGCTGGCCCTCCATGGAGTCAACCAAGTTGGCGCCGGCTGCGCAGTTCGCAGTCCCCCAAGGGAGCTGCGAGGTCCCGTCTTGTCTGTGTCCGCGTACTCCCCGACCCCGCCGTGCCTCCCACTAACACACGAAAGTGGTGCCAGTTGCGCAGCTCGGCGAGCGAGGCTCGCAGCACATGAGGATCAAGGGAGGAGAAAGGCGGAAGGAAGTGGGGCCAATAGTGCTTCTCCGAAACGGAACCCCGAACAGGCAGAATGGGAAGAAAGACCGATACCGCTGATGCCCGGGCCTTTCCCCGGGGTGCTTTTGACCAAGGCCGCGAGGGGAAGCCGGCTGCGGCGACGGGGGGCACGCCGTGAGGCCCCAGAGGCGAGGGCGGCGAAAAGCATCGGCACCGCGGCCTGTCGTCCTCCCGTGCTCACTTGCCCGTCCAAGGGGGGCGGATCCCGAGGAGCGCGCAGCACCGATGCAGGCCTGCACCGGGCCTGCGGCACGCGGAGGCGCGGAAGAACGCCAGGGGCTGCCTGGCAGGGCTTCTATAGCACTCCAGGGGCCCCCCCCTCTTCCTCGGGTGTTGCCAGAAGTGCCCCTGGGCCAAAGGTGCCCCCAGGATGCTTAGGGGTACCTCGAACGGCCTCCAGAGCAAACCTCACGAGACCCAGAGGGCCCCAGAGGCTCCAAAATGGAGCGAAAAGCTGGGGGCGCCTTGGGCCAGGGGCACATCTAGCAACACCGGGCTTCCCGGTCACACTTCCCTGACTGCACCGCCCCATATTACCCGGGGGGTCCCTGCGCGGCCATGGCGACGACCTGGGGCTCTCCAAGGCTTCCACGACGGCCCAGGAGGCCCCCGAGACGGTTCAAGAGGGCCGCGCCCCGGGTCGCCCAACGATCGCTCGAAGACGCCCAAGACGGCATCACGATGGCCCAAGAGGCCTCCAAGACGCCCCTAGAAGCCTACATGAGGCATCCAGAGGACCACAAGAGGCAGGCACCAAACTCCGAGCCTTCTGCCCCAAGAGGCACCCAGGAGGCTCCTAGAGGCACCCAAGAGGCCCCAAAAGGCCCGCAAGAGGCCGCAAAACGGCCCCCGAGAGGCATCCCACGAGATCCCCGGAACATCCAATAGGCTTCGCACCCACAGCCCAGGCACCGTGGCGGGCCTTGCCGTAAGCAGCTGGAAGCTAGAGCGAGAACGAGGGAGGGAGTGAGACTTTGGAGTACCATGTGGGACCTGCTCTAGAACAGGAACATACCGTAGACAGATCTACCCTTTCTCCGACCTTGCGCCGCGCCGAACGCAACGGCCACGTTGTCCATAGACGTATCCACCCTGAAAGTGTCTATGGACGTTACGGCACCCAATGTGTCCTTAGACGCTATGGGCTAGGACGTGAGAGCGGTGTTCGGCATCGGCCCCAGATGTTGGTCTTCCAGAAGCGGGGAAGCTTGGCCCCAGAAATGAGGCTGCACCCCGCCGACCCTCTCCGCGGAAGACCCAGAGGCGAAGACATGAGGACGCAGCGGGCAGCTCGCAGCGGGCCCGGAGGAGAGGGACCCGGCGCCCTCCCAAAAAACGCGGGAGAATGCCTGAAGAAGAGGGGGCACAGACGTCCGACCGCACCCACTGCGCTGGAGTCGAGGACAACCCTGGCGGGGAGAGGGCGGAGCTCGAGGCAGGCGCCGAGCGAGGGCAGCGGGGAAGGAACGTCGACCTGGAGTTGGCGGTGCGTCGCCGATGGCTCGGCCATCGCAGCCGATAGCGAAGCCGCACGGTCCTGGGCAGGGAGGGGGTTATCGCGCCCCCGGTGGGCTGTCTGTGGGCGAGGGGGGGTCGACGATGTGTCGCTGCCAGGGTCAATCCCCCGTTCATGCTGTCCCCTTGGGCTTCAAGTCATAGCTCGGCCTCTCTGGCGGCCGTTCTGGACGAGCTGGGCACCCCGCAGAGAGCTCTCGGCGAAGCGAAGCTGCTGCAAGCACCCCCCAGGCTGGAGACCGCCGTGGACCGGCGACAACGTGCGAAAACCTCGAACCTCGAACCGCGAAGCCCCGATAACCTCGTAAGCCTACCCCCTCCTCCTCCTCCTCCTCCTCCTCCTCCTCTTCCTCCTCCTCCTCCTCCTCCTCCTCCTCCTCCTCCTCCTCCTCCTCCTCCTCCTCCATACCTGAGGGGCAACGATAGGGGAGGACTGGCGGAGGGGGGATGCATCGACCTAGCATCGGCGATACGTCGCCGATAAATCGGGGATAGGGCCCCGATAGGGAGTCCGCACTTTCCTGTGCAGGTTGCATCGGGCCCCTATCGGCGATCAGTGGGCGATTGGGGGGTCTCGGCGGTGGACGGTGGACAAACCCTCCTTTAGCAAACTTCCCCTTAATGAAAGCGGCGTGGGACCGAAACCGACGGACCTAGACCCGCAAAAATGACGGCCGCGACGCCCTCTCGCGAACCGAAAACGGCCAAACCCTTAATCGACGTGTCAGGGTAGGAGGTCTATCCACCTCCGAGGGTCGATGCACCCCCCCCTGTGCGCATTCCCCCCCTTTTTCGTTGCCCCTGAACACCTCGCCCCCGAGCCGAGCGAGCGGCCCAGGCCCCCGGGGCCTGCCGCTCCCGCTCCACGTCGGCCTGCATGCTCGACCGCTCGGCCTCGCCCGCGGCTGCCGCGGCACGCGCCGAGGGCACTTCGAGGCCCTTGCGCCTCAGATCTCCCCCTGCTCGTCCTCGACAAGCTGAATCCGCCTCCTCCTCCTCCTCCTCCTCCTCCTCCTCCTCCTCCTCCTCCTCCTCCTCCTCCCCGACCTCATCCTCCTCTTCCTCATACGGCGGATGCGCTGTCTGACGAGGCACGCCTGGCCGCCTCCTGAGACTCGGCGAGGACGCGACGATGAGGGTGTGCACCTCCTCCTCGTCCTCCTCATCAACCTCCTCGTCCTCCTCGCTTTACTCATTCGCGTCGTCAGGGCAAACCTGGCCAAAACTCGTGCCCCCCCTGCCACACGACATGGGAGCGAACGCTTCTGGACCGCGCACTCCGACTGCATCCTGCTGCCTGGTCCGCCCCAGACATCCCTCGCGGCATCCAGAAAGCCTCCCTGGGGCCTCCCAGGGATTTCCTGGCCCCCCAAAGACTTCCGAGATCACCCCAGGACTCATAGGGCATCCCAAGGCCTGGTAAAACCTCACAGGACCTCCTAGGTGGCATCATAGATTGCATTTACGAACCGCCTGTTTGACTGTGGCTGTTCGCAAGGATGTTTGTTAATTGTCACCAGTCGCCAGTGGCTTCGAGACTGACCCCAGAGGCCCTAGCATTACCCCATGTTTGTCTATGATGGCCCCGACAATGCACCTGCGTGTGTTTCAACCAGAACGCATCCATTTTCCCGAGCCGCGAAGCAAAAATCATTTCGCTTTCGAAACCCCATCCGATTATCCCCCCTGCGCTCGCAGTCGGCCTGTCGCTTGCCTAGCCCATTCTTGCCAACTTGCGGATGCCTCTCCCGCCAGCAAAGCAGTCAGGACGGGACACCGCGACTCCGAAATAGCAAGCTTGCTATGCGACCAACGGTGAGCTACGCCCCCCGTAATTTGTGTTGTGCCATCTAATGCGAGGCGGGGATTTATCCATACCCACCGCCTGGTAACCGATTTCCTGGTGTCCCAGCGGGCGGTGGATGCTATATTTCGGCCCCCGGGGGTCCGAATATGTCCATATCCAACGCCTGCCGAGGCTCCGAAAACTAACCCTCCAGGTGGTGGTCATGTATAAATCCCCGCCTCAACACCGAATGATCCGATGTTTTTCTCACGTGGTGGATGGCACCTCACTGGGGAAACTCACCACTGACAATCAGCCTTTAGCCTGCGGACTGTCCAGCGCAACCTGCAGCGCAAGCTCTGGAACATATCACGGGAACGACTTGGTACATTGCGACTCCGCAGGGCGCGGAGAGTCTGGCGCAACTGTACAGTCGGACTTCATTGGACAGGACACGCGAGAGGACAAAAGACCCTTCCGAGGGCCACATTGCCATGGGAATGCAGGAGGCATGGGTCGCGAGACACAGGACACAAAGGTACCCTTGATTTGGCAGGTTCGACCTACTAATCCAGGCCGACTGTATGGCGCAACAGATCGGAGGCACACGGAGGCGGAAAACTCACGATTCGGACGGAAGCAGAGTGTTTGGCTCAGCACGTGGCGCCATGCATGGTGGGCAGATGAAAGCATGTCGGTGCCTGGCGCCGCCCCTGGCGCAGACCATGAAAAAGGTAGGGTGGGGACATCACGATTCGGTGGGTCGCGGGGTGCCTGGCTCAAGCTGTGACACATTCTGGCAATCTACAGCGCAGCCTTCTAGAAGGCAGGGCGAGTGGGCGCATCTCGAGTCCATACTGAGCGGGGTGTCTGGCGCAACCTGTGGCGTTACAGAAGGTGGACAAAGAGGGAACTGGCAATTCTGCAGGGCACGCTGGGTGTATGGCGCTCCCTTGTGGCGCAGCCTGTAGAAGTCAGACAGGGTGGAGAACTCTCAAATGGGTAGGGCGCGGCGTGTCTGGCGAAACCCATGCCGCGTATAGCAGATGACAGGAGGTGGGAGATCGCGATTCGTTGATCAGGCGGGGTGCCTGGCCCGCAATCTGAGGCGCCACCTATGGCGCAACCCGTGGAACGTAGACTCAACCAAGAGCAAGCGGTTCGGCAGTGCGGTGGGCGTCTGGCGCAAATCATGGCGAGACCATACAGCCGATACCGCTGGGTGACATGTCGTAGGCTAGCCAAGCGTTCTGTGTACAAACACTTGGTGGCTGGGATGCCCCAGCCGTATGCTGTGTAAGCAGGCCGTTCTGAGACGAACGCCAGTGCGGTGTTGTAGCCTCCAGCGCTTTTGACGGCATCTGGTAACCATCAAAAACGCGTGATGCTCCATCAAAGTTACTTGTTTGTTATGGCAACCGGTAGCCATAAAAAAGCGTGATGTTCCATCTGAGCAGTGCGGAGGGGGGCAGAAGTTGTCCGCCCCAATATTTGAGCATCAAATGAGAAAGTCGAGCATCATGAAAACATCGGTCTGAATTCCGTTTCTGGCAAGATAGCAGCATTTACATGTTAGCACAGGCGGAAGACACGGGTGTGCAGCAACGCTTCCCCATCTCCGCAGACATTTGCCGCAGAGGCCCCGCAGAGGGCCGTTCTAGCAGCACATTGCGCAGTGTATACCAGCGTTGAGTCTGGGAAACATCGCAGTGCGGTATTGTAGTCTTTCCTCCAGCGTTTGACGGCCCAACAGCGACGGCAAGAGGGGAGGAATGGGGGAGGAGGAGGAAACACAAAAAAAGATGGGATGAGGAGGATGAAGCGGCGAAGGAGAAGGTGGTGGTGGAGCCGTAAGGGGCCACGAGTCGATGCCTTCACTCACATCTAGCCCTTACTTGATTATGGTGCCTGCAACTGTACTGTCCACTCTGCCGCCAGTCGGACGCACGCCAGCTGGGTTGCTGGACACGCGCCCACTCCAGCAGTGGCTCCCCTCAGCAGCCAAGCTCCCCCACTAGCAAGCACTGTCTGAGGACTGGCCAGACCTCTCGCCCAGACCGAACCCCAAAGAGGCAAGCAACGTCGGGGGAGAAAACAAGAGGCTGGGAAGAGAAGAAGAAAGAGAAGGAAGATGAGGAGGACGAGGAGGAGGAGGAGGACGAGGAGGACGACAAGACCACTCACAGGACCTCAGGCTGCTCGTTGCAGACGCCGCGCGCGCTGCGGGGGGCGGCGCTGTTTTGATCGTATGAATCATGTGCGCAGGTCGACCCGCGCCCGCGCCCGCGGGCGCCGCGGCTTCCCCCGGCGCCGCCCCTCGGCTGGCAAGGGGAGGGGCCGGGGGGGTGGGCACCGCGCCTCGGCGCGACCCCTCCGCGGCCTGGCCGGGACTCCTGAGGCACGCTCCGTGCATGGGGGGGGCCCTGGCGGCTGTGGCAGGAGTGCGCCGGGTATACCTGTCGGTGGGAAAAAGCGGGCAGAAATGGGAAGCCAGGCAGGCGTCAAAGGTAGATTGGGATTCTGCCCCCCACCCTGGACAGGAGGGAAGAGGGAAGGCCGCGCGACCATCGAAATAGAAGCCGCCTGAAACAACTTGGGATCTAAGCGATCCACCATATACCTGCCTTCGACGTCCGATGGGTACACCTGCCCCGATGCTGGCCAGCCCCCTGCTGGGCCCAGAGTCGGTGTGTACGCCGCCTCTGGCTTGGCCAGGAGAGCGCATACACCGATCCTGGACCCGGGGCCGACCTCTGCCAGGATCGATGCGTACTGCAGTCGGCGCCGTCCGGTGACGTGTCTGAGGGGCCACCCGGGCAGGATTGGCTCACTGAGGGGATATCGGAGCGAGGGCACTGGCAGGACTGAGTTTAGTGGGACTTGGTTTAGTGATGTGTGTTTGGGGACGCCTCTTCGCCCACTTATTCTGACCGGAATTGGCATCACCCGAACAGCCAAAACTACGGCAGACCTGGTTTAGTGATTCACGCACCGGCTCCCCGTACCCGAGGTCCCAGCTCTTCGTCGAGACGCCTCTCGACAGCGAAATAGCACGATCCTGGACAGGGGCGCGCACCCAAGCCCGAATCGGCGAAAGATGAGCGACTCGGGGCCAATGTCCCTCCCCCTCGGCTCGATCCCAAACTTCGGTACACACGCTGGGTGGACCCAGTGGGCCCTCGGAGGCGCCTTCTGGAGGCCTGGGCGAGGCAGAAACTTCGGGCAGAAAACGGGCGGAGGAGGAGGCGGAGGAAGAGGTGGAGGAGGAGGAGGGGGAAGGGGAGGAGGTGGGGGAGGAGGTGGAGGACGAGGAGGAGGAGGAGGTGGAGGAGGAGGAGGAGGTGGAGGAGGAGGAGGAGGGGAAGGAGAGAAGGTGGGGAAGGAGGAAGAGGAGTAGAAGGAGGAGGAGGGGAAGGGGGTGCTGCCTGTCAAGACCGCATGGGGGGTCTGAGGGAGAGGGCGGCGGCCGGGCTCCCTTAGGAGGGAACAACCGTCCTCTGCCAGATTCCCGACGGCGGGGTTTTCTCGGACCGGTTTTTCCCCGAGCACAAGATGGGCGACGATGGCGATGATGATGCTGGTGATGGTGACGTTGTTGTTGTTGATGATGTTGATGATGGTGATGGTGATGGTGATGGTGATGATGGTGGTGATGATGAAAGTGATGGTGGTGGTGATGGCGATGGTGATGGTGATGATGATGATGATGATGATGATGATGATGATGATGATGGTGATGATGACGATGACGATGATGACGATGATGATGATGATAATGAAGAACCACTGCGCTTGATACTGTTCTCGCGCACTGCCCTTGATGATGAACCACTGCACTTGACGTTGATGATGATGGTGATGATGATGGTGGTGATAATGCTGACAATCGCACTCTGCCTGCATGCTCCGACAATGAATATGACCCTGTTCAACGTTTGCCGTTCGCTGCGCATCTGCGTGCTGCCACTTCCCGCGCGCCCGTGACCGCCGATCGCGCGCCGCGACTGACTAGACGTCAACTCGCAAACACAACGTACGAAACACGTCGCACGTACGCTCACAAGTGCAGGCGATTCGCGTCTGGTCATGGCGCGTTCCGCGCGAAGCTGCTCGTAACAACGCGGCGGCACCGGCGCCCCCAATGCGAATATTTGAAATTGCTTCACGGAGGGGCGCGGATGATTTACGATCCTTTACATCAAAGCAGGTTCTTGGGCGTTTGCGAATAAGCACTTTGCGAAAAGTGGAACGCGCTCGGTGAAACCTGACTCTTTCAATCCACGGCCACGAAGTCCCGACCCCTTCCCCAAAGGTAGATTTTCACCCCAAATCCGTTTTCAGCCGACACCCACGAAAAACATCTGGGTTGCAGAACAGATCGTCAAAGATCTGGGTCCAATCCTTGAACAGGGACCGTCCCGGCATTCCTGTCGGACTGCCACGGAATGTTCTGAAACATAAAACCACGTTTTCAAAATATAAAAGCGGTGCACCAGAGCAAGACGGTTTCAGCCGGACCTGTTCTAAGAACACCTCCTGCAGACCACAACCAAGTCTGAAAAGACTCCCCGGTGGGCCTATGGGCAAGCCAGGACGCCTCGCCGCTGCTAGAACTCCGACCCTCACCGACAACGGCTCCCAGGGCAGGAGCTGCCGCCCTCGGACTCTCGGCCAGCCGACCCGCCGTGCAGCGCCCCCACCGCCGCCGCGCGGGCGGCCCCAAGCGCAGCCCGCCGCGGTTCAGGGCTGCCCACGAGTCCACCCCGGCCGCGAGACCGCCACCTGTCGTGGGCGAAAAAACATATGAACATCCGCGGCCCCGCTGGGCCGCGATCCCCAGGACCCGGGCCGACCCACCACCCACGCACGGTGGCGGGATAGGCCGACGGCCACTGGATCCGCCGCCCCCTGTGGTCTTGCCACAGGGGTGCACGGCGTGCTGGATGTTTCAGGTTTTGGTTTTGGTTCTTTTTCTAAAAGAACTCCCCAGTGGGCTTCGGCCCGTCCCGCCGGCCACCCGCAAGTTTCCGAAAATCCATCTGTCAATGCCTTTGTTGCCCCAACTTGGCCCAAGATGGCCTCCAAGACGGCCAAGATGGCCCAAGATGGCCTCCAAGATGCTTCCAAGACGGCCAAGATGGCCTCCAAGACGGGTAAGATGGCTCCAAGATGCACCCAAGACGGCCCAAGATGGCCTCAAGATGGTCTAAGACGGCCCAAAAGGCCCGCAAAAGGCCTCCAAGACGGCCCAAGAGCCCTCCAAGACGCCCTCCAGGAAGGCCCGAATAGGTTAAAATCATTGATTTTCCTTAGGTTTTTGAAGGATTTTGGCATGTTCTTCTTTTCAGCTCTCCGACGGCCCAAGACGGCCCAAGAGGTCCCCAACATCGCCCCAACAGCACCCAAGAGGCCTCCAAGATGGCCCCTATGACGGCCCAAGAGGCCCCCAAGAAGGCCCCAAGAGGGCCTCAAGACGGCCCAAGAGGCCTCCAAGACGCCCAAGATGGCCTCCAAGACGGCCAAGATGGCCCAAGATGGCCTCCAAGATGCCTCCAAGACGGCCAAGATGGCCTCCAAGACGGGTAAGATGGCTCCAAGATGCACCCAAGACGGTCCAAGATGGCCTCAAGATGGTCTAAGACGGCCCAAAAGGCCCGCAAAAGGCCTCCAATACGGCCCAAGAGCCCTCCAAGACGCCCTCCAGGAAGGCCCGAATAGGTTAAAATCATTGATTTTCCTTAGGTTTTTGAAGGATTTTGGCATGTTCTTCTTTTCAGCTCTCCGACGGCCCCAGACGGCCCATGAGGTCCCCAACATCGCCCCAACAGCACCCAAGAGGCCTCCAAGATGGCCCCATGACGGCCCAAGAGGCCCCCAAGAAGGCCCCAAGAGGGCCTCAAGACGGCCCAAGAGGCCTCCAAGACGCCCAAGATGGCCTCCAAGACGGCCAAGATGGCCCAAGATGGCCTCCAAGATGCCTCCAAGACGGCCAAAATGGCCTCCAAGACGGGTAAGATGGCTCCAAGATGCACCCAAGACGGCCCAAGATGGCCTCAAGATGGTCTAAGACGGCCCAAAAGGCCCGCAAAAGGCCTCCAAGACGGCCCAAGAGCCCTCCAAGACGCCCTCCAGGAAGGCCCGAATAGGTTAAAATCATTGATTTTCCTTAGGTTTTTGAAGGATTTTGGCTGTTCTTCTTTTCAGCTCTCCGACGGCCCAAGACGGCCCAAGAGGTCCCCAACATCGCCCCAACAGCACCCAAGAGGCCTCCAAGATGGCCCTATGACGGCCCAAGAGGCCCCCAAGAAGACCCCAAGAGGGCCTCAAGACGGCCCAAGAGGCGTCCAAGACGCCCAAGATGGCCTCCAAGACGGCCAAGATGGCCCAAGATGGCCTCCAAGATGCCTCCAAGACGGCCAAAATGGCAATGGCCTCCAAAACGGCCTAGGAACCCTCCAAGACGTCCTCCGAGAAGGCCCGAAAGGGTCAAAATGGCTTCCAGACGGTCAAGATGACCTGCAAGATGCCCACGTGTTCCCCGAAGGCTTTCCAAACCGACTCGGGGAACACGTGGTCCGATAGCTTGGCAGGCCTCTGGCCACAACCTTCGGCCACATAGGCGCTTCAAAAAAGGCAGGGGGCGGCGGTGATTCGCCGTAGGCGTCTTCGATAAATGCTGAGTGAGAGGAGGGGAGGGAAAAAGAGAGGAGGGACGAGGGCGAAGAAGATCACATCAGTCGGAGCGCCCCGGATCGGCGGCACTGGCCGAAGGCCACTACAACATATGAACATCCGCGGCCCCGCTGGGCCGCGATCCCCTGGACCCGGGCAGTTTTTCTGCGGACGCCCCGCGGAACGTGTCCGTGCGACCGCGCATCCGCGGAATCGCGCGCCGGAATCTAAGCCGCGACGGCGCGGATGGTGACATGTTCGCCGCTACGGTAGGGGCCCGACCACGAGAAACTTTCCACAAGAAACCCAACCCTGAGACTCCAGGGCGCCCATTGATATTTGGCGTGGGAACGACACGTTTTCCATTACAAAACCAGCGAGCCCCAAGAAACCCCAGGGAACCCTGGAGGCAAGCAACATGTTTCGTGGCATGGGTCTCCATTGTACGCGTATTCGCGGCCACGCTGAGCCGCGATCCCGAAGACGCGGGGCGTTTTTCACCGGACGTCCCGCGCGGAACGTATCCGTGCGACCACGCATCCGTGGGACCGCGAAGCGGAATCCAGGCCGCGACGGCGCGGACATTGGCAATTACAGTGGCGGCCACTCCACAGAAGACCTTCCGCTATAAACCCAACCCTGGGACCACAGGGCGCCCATTGTTTTTTAGCGTGGGAACGCCACGCTGCCCATTGCAAAACCATCGAAACCCCAAAAACCCGGGGGCAGTGTGGAGGCGGGCAAGGCGTTTCTTGGCATGGTCCTCCACTGTAACGGCATGTTCGCCGCTGCGTGAACTTTTCAGCTTCTCGCGCAAAAAGGGCACCTTTGCACCGCCAGCACCGCGCCTCGCCAAGACCACCCCATGCGGGCCCCAGCACGGCGCACGGCGCTCCTCTGGCCGAGGAGGCCGGGAGGAGCAACCATTCACGACGGGAAGCGATTCGCCACGTTCGGCCTCAGGGCGCCAGTGCCAGGCTTCGGAACCGTTTGGCGGCGTGCAAAGTGGGGCAGGGGCAGATGGGAAGGTTTCCTAGAAGCACCCTGCTTCTTAGAAGGCCCTGGCCCTACGTCTATAGAGAAGGCCAGCGCCTTCTAAGAAGCAGGTGTGTTTCTAAGAAAGAGAGCGTTCTGTGGTCGCTTGGAGGGGGGGGGGACCGGACCTCCCCATCCTTTCCTACTGTTCCTCTCCCTCCTCGAGTCGGCGCCGGCGTCCGCGACGGCTGGCGGCGGTGCCGGGGAGCGTCGATGAAGACGACGACTTCCTTTTTGGGGCCGGCGCCGGCGCCTGCGGCGGCGGGCGGCGGCGGCGGAGAACGTCGACGAGGCCGACGGCGCCGACGATGATGATGACGACGATGACGACGACGACGACGCTCCGCCACCTTGCCTCGGCTTCGGGTCAGAATCCTAATGGGCGCCTCTTGGAGGGCTCGTCGGAAGGCTCCCAGGGGCCTCTGAAGGGCATTTGTGAAGCCTCTTTTGCGTCTCTGGGGGCCTCTCTGTGGTGGTGGTGGTGGTGGTGGTGGTGGTGGTGGTGGTGGTGGTGGTGGTGGTGGTGGTGGTGGTGGTGGTGGTGGTGGTGGTGGTGGTTGGCTGGGATGGTGGGTGGTGGTGGTGGTGGTGGTGGTTGTGGTGGTGGTGGTGGTGTTGTAGTGGTTGGTGGTGGCGGTGGTGTTGGTTGTTGTGGTGGTTGTGGTGGCAGGTTGTGGCGGTGGTGGTTGTGGCGGTGGTGGTGGTGGTGCGGTGGTTTCTGGTGGTGGCGGTGGCCGTAGTTGTTGTGGCGGTGGCCCAAAGTGGTGGCGGTAGTGGCGGCGGTGTGGTGGTTTGTGGTGGTTGTGGTGGTGGTCGTGGTTGTGGTGGTGGTGGGCTGTGGTTGTGGTGATTTGTCGTGGTGGTTGTGGTGATGGTGGCGGTGGTGGTGGTTTATTGTGGTGGTGGTGGTTGTGGTGGTGGGTCGTGGTGGTGTGGTGGTTTGCGATGGTGGTGGTGGCGGGTTGCGGTGGTGGCGGTGGCGGTCGTTGTGATGGTGGTGGTGTGGTGGTTTGCTGTGGTGGTGGTTGTGGCGGTGGGTGGTGGTGGTGGTGGTGGTGGCGGTGTGTGGTGGTGGTTTGTGGTGGTGATCAAAGTGGGTTGTGGCGGTGGTGGCGGTGGTGGTGGTTGGGGCGTGGTGGTTTGTGGTGGTAGTGGTGGCGGTGGTGGCGGTGGCTTGTGGAGGTGGTGGCGGTGGTGGTGGTGGAGGCGGTGGTGGTGGTGTGGTGATTTGTAATTGTGGTGGGTCGCGTCGCTGGTAGTGGTGGTGGTGGTTGTGGCGGTGGTGGTGGTGGCGTGGTGAATTGTTGTGGCGGTGGTGGTGGTAGTGGTGGTGGGTTGTTGTGGTGGTGGTGGATTGTTGTGGCGGTGGCGGTGGTGGTATTGGTGGTGTTGGTTGCGTGGTGGTTTGGTGGTGGTGGCGGTGGGTTGAAGTGGTGGTGGTGGTGGTCATGGTGGTGGCGTTGGCGGCGGCGTTGGCATGGTGGTTTGTGGTGGTGGCTGTGGGTGGGCTGTGTTGTTGGCGGTGGTGGTGCTGCTGCTGCTGGCGCTGGTGCTGGTTGGTGGCGGTGGTGGGTGGTGGGTGGGTGGGTGGGTGGTGGTGGTGATGGCGTGGTGGTTTGTGGTGGTGGTGGGTTGTGGTGATGGTGGTGGTGGTGTCGGTGGTGGTGATGGCGGTGGTCATGGCATGATTGTTTTTGGCGGTTGTGGTGGTGGTGGTTGTGGTGGGTTGTGGCGGTTTGTGGTGGTGCTGGTTGTGGTGGCGTTTTTGGCGGCGGAGGTAGTGTAGTGGCTTGTGATAAAAGTGGTGGTTGTGGTGGTGGTGGGTTGTGGTGGTTGCGGTGGTGGTGGCGGTGGTGGTGGTGGCGTGGTGGTTTGTGGTGGTGGTGGTGTGGCCTTCGGCTCTGCCCGCAACCGTGTGTTGGCTTCGCGTTACAATGATGGGTGCCTCTTGAGGTCTCGTCACATGGGTTTCGGGGGCGCGTGAGGAGCATGTGCGAATCTTCGTGGACGTTCCTAAAGGCCTCTCGGTGGCCTTGGGGAGGCGAGGGTTCGATATGGCGAAATGTGGGAGTTCC